TTATTTACAAATTCTTTGCCATTATCACTTCGAAAAATTTTGATGTGAGAATTAAACTGAGTTTTAATCATTTTTTCAAAATTCACAAAAACAGAGTAAGCTTCAGATTTATGTTTTAGGGGATAAATCCAGGTAAATTTGCTGAAATCATCAACAAAAGAGATATAAAATCGAAAACCGCTACAGGAAGGAACAGAGGTGGGACCCCAAACATCAGAATGTATTAATTGAAAGAGCGTTGTGGCCTTATGTTCAGACAATTCAAAAGGTAAACGACAGGACTTAGAGACATAACATGATTCACAATGTAAAGGCTCTGAAAACTGAAAACCTAAGGAAGACAAAATGGATTTGGCAATCGCAGGAGCTGGATGACCGAGTCTACGATGCCAGGTGGACTCTTGGATAGCTTGATACGCAACGGTTGGAAGTTTGGAAGGAAGTGTGTATAACCCATGCTCACAGAGGCCCTTGTACCGAACCTGGTTGGTAGGATTGTCCACTATCTGGAAATCATTGGCATTGAAAACAAGGGTGCAGTTGTTATCTTTGGTAAATCGATGGACAGACAATAGATTGGAGGTAAGGGAAGGGACATAATGAAGAGTAGAAAGGTGGTCTTTACCATTAGGAGTATGGACAAAACCTGAGCCAGAGTGTGTGATGGGTAGGGATTGACCATTGCCTACGGTAATAGCATCAGTACCGGTGTATTGATGAGGAGATTGTAGCTGAGAATAATCAGACGTGACATGGGTGTTGGCACCAGTGTCCAGATACCAGTTTGCAGAATGATTACTCGTAGATGCATGCATTGCACGGGGAGCACTGGAGGAGGAGTTCGCAGTATAAGAATCATCAAATCGATACCAGCACGGAGACGCAGAGTGACCGCGTTTCTCACAGATTTGGCAGGTTGGCAGATCCCGTGACGGTCGACCGTTTCCCTGGGACGGTCGACCGTTGTTCCTTTCTCCACGTCCGCTGTTGTATCCACGTCCAGGTGACGGTCGACCGCGGTAGCCTCCTCTACCGCGACCTCGACCGTTTGTAGCGAGAAGTGCTGTGCGAGGTTCGGTGATGGTAGACTCGGTGAGGCTGAGTTTATTCTCCATCTCCAGGTTTATTTCTTCGGAGATCAGCCATCCAGAAAGCTGATTTAACGAAATATTGGTATTGTTCATGCGAATGTTTTGCTTAAAGGATGAGTATTCGGTGGGAAGACCACGAATAACAGCATTCACCACATCACGTTCAGGGATCTCTT